AATCTTTGTATAACTTTATATAACTTAAATCTTAAATAACTCTTTAAGGCAATGACCAAGCTCCGTGTTATAATGATGCTGAAATATATTGTATGAGCACCAGGAGTATTTACAGCATCACAACCCAGGTCACAATTGTGTTATAACTTGGCAGGGCTCTGTGTGCTGGAGGAAACTCCCCCTCAAAAAAGGAAAGGTAAAATCAAGAAAAGGAAGAACTTACCCATCACACATATAGAACAGACAAAAATTTTAGGCGAAAATCATAAGAGATAACAAAGCAAAAGAGCTAACATTATCCTAGGCTGCATTATAAGAAATATAAACTTTAGAATAAGGGAGGTGAAGTATCCTACTCTACTCTGCTCTGTTTAAACCCCATGTCTAGAATAACACATTCAGTGGTGTCCAATTTTAAGAAGCATCTAGACAAAAGGAAACATGTAGACCAGGCAATCCAAAATGATTAAGGGCCTAAAATTGTATCTTCTGAGGAATTTTTTTTTCCCGATGGTAATGTTTAGCCAAAAGAAGACTTCAGAAAGAGCCATCACAATTGTTTTCAAACATGTGACAACCCAGTGTATGGGAAAGAGATTAAACCTATTCTCTGTGGATCCAAGACGCAGAAGTTGGGCCAAATTTTGAGTGTACATAGGAGCCGGCAGCCCAAACTGTCCAAAGAAGGAATGGATTGCATGGAGAGATAGGACTTGCCAGTCCTATGGAACTGCTCAAATGGTAGCTGTATAACTTGTGAAGCATCCTCCCATAAAACCAATATTTCGAGCCCTGGAGGGATGGGTGGACCGGATCAGTGTAAGCGTGGGGGGCAGGCGAGGGGTCCAGGGTGCTGTATACTCTTCCCACCTCAGCGGAAGCAGTTCAGCTGCTGTACACTTGGGTTCCTGGATGAGCTGTACTTTGAAGCACGGGCTCAAAAGAGTAAGAAAGTAAACCACAAGATGAAATAACCCCTTAGGTCCCCTCAAACACTGAGCTCTTCCAACCTACACATCTCAGCAAGGGGTTTCCGGGACTCCCCGCGGTGAGCGCAATTGATGGAAAGTATCCAGAGTGACTCAGGGGAATGAAACAGCATCATTTTATTCTTTGCTCCCACTTCTTTCCCTCTTTCATCCAGTCCCGCCCCTCCGCTCCCTGTTCTTTCATCCACAGGTGTAATGGAAAAAGAGGGGGATACTTTAGATATCAAAAAAATTCAGATTGGCTCCTTAAAAAATATGAAAGCCAGAGTTACCATATGCCGCAGCAACTCCACTTCTGGGTATCCGCCCCAGAGAAGTGAAAACATGTGTCTGCACAAAGCTTGTATACAAATATTCACAGGATCATTCTCTGCAATAGTCAAAAAGTGGAAAGAGTCCCAAACCCCATCAGTTGGAGAATGGATCCCCAAAACGAGGTATAGCCATAAAATGGAATACGATTCAGCCGTAAAAAGGAACAGAGAACTGACACATGTTACAGTTTTGGACAAACCTCAAGACATTACGCTAAGTGCAAGAAGCCCAACAGAAAAGGTCACGTAGGATGATTCCATGACAACAGCACATCCAGAATCAACACAGGAAGCAGATTAGAGGTCATCAGGGTCTCGGGCAGGTGGGGAAACTGGGAGTGACAGCTACTAGGCATCAGGGGTTTCTTTCTGGGGTGATGAATACGCTCTGAAATTAGATACCGGGGAAGTGGGCACAATTCTGTGAATATGTTAAAAGCCACTTCATTGTACACTTTCAAAGGCATGTCAGTAATACCTCCATAAAGCTGCTATTAAAACAAAAAGAGATTCAGAATCAAGCCTTCCGGGTTGTGCGGCTTCATAAAGTCACCAAATCTCTTTGAGCCTCAGTTTCCCCCCTGTGCCAGAAAGGGCAGTAGTACCATTTGCCTCAATGGCAGGCTTTGAAGCAAACAGGGGGTAGGGAATGGGAAGTATTTCCCAAATCCTAAATTGGCTTATAAATGATAACTTTTCTTCACTTTTCAACTGTTGCGGTTTTTCCTCGAGTGGTAAAAGCAGTCTGTGGTTTTTAGCTCGTTTGACAAGAGTCCGAAGTACTTGAAAGAAGAAAAGAAAAACGCTGCCCAAGTTTTCTCCTGAAGTCAGGGTACCAAAGACGAGAATGAAGCGTCTTTTCAGGAGGCCAGACACCACCTGGCTTTACACGTCGTGCCCACAGCAAATGAGGGGACACAGCCAGGAAAAACGGATCAGAGGAAGATGGAAATTTCATTTGTTCAAACAAAGCTTTCATTTCCTGCTCGTTTATATATTTATCCCCCCAGGAGGACGCTAATGTGACAGTCCCCCAGTGTAGAGGCATGGGCTGGATTCTGTGGAGCTAATACAGAACTATGACTTTTCAGTTCCTGTCACTATCAAAAGCGTGAAGCTTCATCAACAGAAAACGGAGGAGCTCATAGATTATGCTGTTGAAGCCTGGCCACAGTCACGTTAAGTCTCTAATTCAAAAAGAAAAAAAAAATTTTTTTCAATGCAGCTAATGAAATACCCACCCACGTGTTTAATTGAGTTCTTGGTGAAACGGTGTTGCTATGATCCACTGCTTTAATTGAATCATCATAGTCATTAACTGAATTGTGTTCATTTATTATTTTCACTTAATGGAAGCCTCTTAAAATGAATAATTTCACACCAGAACATCTGTTGCTTCAGACATCATCGGTTAACGTCCATTTCTGCCCCCATAAACTACTCATGCTTTAAAGTTTATTCATATGGTAACCAAAACATAATAAAAACAGTGCTAAGAGCTTTCTGAGAGAAGAAATTCAACAGTTATGATTCATTCACTTGTGTTACGAAGTGATCTTACTATTGGATTCTAGCTATTTTCATGTGATTTTTCTTAAACTGTTACCCATACACATATAAGAGCTGGCCTTTCCTTCCTTCTGGACATCATTCCCAGGGAAATACTTTATCAATACCTCTAAACGAGCAACTAGTTAAAAAAAAAAAGGCAGAAAACCAAAACACTCATGAATAGATGTGTAGGTCAACTTCACGACTGAAATGCTGTTTACGAACATATGACCAGCCCCCTGAACAACTGCTCAAATAAAAATATCTAGACTCGTTTTCATACCCTCAAACTGTCAACTAATATATATCCACATATTAATTCTTCAAAACCCTCCCTGTCCGAAATTCATTTTATATAATTTTTCAGTCACATGCTTTTCACAACTAACATAAAAGGATTTTTATCATAAACATCTAGGAGGCTGCACTATCTTAACATCAAAAATAGTAACTCAAGAGGCTCCTGGGTGGCTCAGTCCTTACGCGTCCAACTTCCACTCAGGTCGTGATCTCACAGTTCATGGGTTCATGGGTTCATGGGTTCAAGCCCCGCCTTGCGCTCTGTGCTGACAACACAGAGCCTGCTTGGGATTCTGTGTCTCTCTCTCTGCCCCTCCCCCGCTCACACTGTGTGTGTGTGTGTGTGTGTGTGTGTGTGTGTGTGTGTGTGTGCGCGCGCGCGCGCGCGCCTTTCTCAAAAATAAATAAACATTATAAAAAATAGTAATTTTAATAGGATTGATTGTAGGTCATTTAAGGAAACCATTCAAAATTTAGCTGAGAACTCTATTCAACCTACGGGGGAGCAAAATCAGTCCTGTGACTCCAAACTGTGAGGGATTCCAGCGGCTCCCAGAGTACCAAATACACTCTATCTGCCTTCAACACCTCCTGAGGACCAAAAACACAAGGCTTCTGTTCTGGGAAACTGCTGTTACATTTGGTGAGTAAAAACTTTCATTCCACTGAAGAGCGAATTACTAAGTCAATGAAGGCCTGCATGTGATTAACATGAAAATTACAGGCTGCTAAAACGATCAGGAAAACCCTTCCACGAAAAAGACGATGGATTCCACCAGAGATGAAAGTATCATCATAGGGGACGAATCAACTCGGGGACCTTTACTGCTACAGCCAATACCTCCTATATGCAAGCAGGTGTTGATTAGCTAGAAAAGTCTCCCTAAATCACAATTAGGGATTGCACAGTTGCAAAACTAAATCTCTCAAGTCGTCAAAACATCTGGAATCGCAAACCCTTCGCAGAATTCTATAAAATACACATTGTTTCTTCTTCGACAAACTTTTGGGACACTCTGATAAAGCAATAGATCCAACGTAAAAAAAAAAAAACAAAAAACAAAAAACAAAAACCACGGTTAACTTTTGTGCATGAATTACCGTACATCACGTTCTCATAAAATGCGCTGCGTGGTGTGAACATCTTTACCAACTCTGCTAGTGAGACTAAAATCTTTCAAGCATAAGGTTATTACATTTTTTAAAGATGCCACATTGGTAGTTATTTACTGTTTCCTTCCTGTAAAATAATAATAATAATAATAATAATAATAATAATGCAACAAGATCGGCCAGCCCGTACACAAAATAGCGCAAGCACTTTTCGGCCGGGCTCGCCGCTCGCGTGCACCCCGGTGCACGGTGGCCGCTGCCCCCCAAGCAGAACGGAACCCGAGGCGCCCCCACCGCCAACGCCGCGCGCGTCTCCAAGGGGCGCTGCGCTGCTCAGTGATTTGTTTGCCGAGTTCCCCCCGCAGACCCTCCCGGGCGGGCGCGAACCGGGCGGCCGCCGAGTAACACGTCCCCGCGCGCGCCGCCCGCCCGGCCTCCCCACGCGCCGCCCGGCCCCGCGCGCCCCGCGGGGTCCCCGGCCCCGGCCGCCCGCGCGCACCGGCGGGCCCGGCGCGGGCGCGGACGCGGGGGGCCCGGGGCGGCGGGGCCGGCGGGGGCGAGCCGGGCGCGGCCCGCGGGCCTGCACAATGCGCCCGCGGCGGCGGGAACCGCGCGCCTCCGCCGCAACTTTGCGCGGCCTCCCGGCCGCCCGGCCTCGCCCCTGCGCCGGCCCCGGGGACCCCGCCGCCCAGCCGCCGCCGCGGCCCCCGCCCTCCCGGCCGCCGCCCCTCACCGTTGCAGAACTGGAGCAGCGAGGACGTGTCGTACAGGCTGCTGTAGCTCGAGAAGCCGTCCTCCATGCTGAGGCCGCCGGGCCGCGCCCGCTCCCCCCCCCCCACGGCCCGGCCGCGCCGCCGCCGCCGCCGCCGCTCACCCCCACACTGAGCCGAGCCGAGCCGCGGCCGGCGCTGGCGCTGGGGCCGGCCCTGCTGTGGCGACGGCCGCGGCCGGTTACCATGACAACCCCGGGCCCGCCGCCGCCGCCGCCGCCGCGCGGGCCCGACGCCTGCGCTGCCCGCGCTGCCCGCCAGGGGGCGGCCTCGGCGGGGCGGGGCGGGGCCCGGGCGCGGGGGCTGGGGACCCGGCCGGGTAGCCGGGTGCCTGAGCGCCGGGGGCGCCCGGGCCGGACCCAGCCTTCTCTCGGGGTCGCGGCGTCCCCGCGAGGGCGGGACGCTCGGGGCGCAGGGGACAAAGGGAGCGGCGGGGCGGGCGGGCGCGGGGAGCGGGGCGCCGCCCGGGCCGGGGGAACCCCCTCCGCCCTCCCCCTGCGGGCGCGGAGGCCCGCGCTCCCCGGAGGCCCCGTCCCCCCGCGCCCGCCGGCAGCTCCAGGACCAAACAAGGACTGCGTGCGAGCCCATTGCGGCTGCGGTTCCCCCTCGTCCTCCGGCCGCAGCGCGCCACTCGCCCCACGCGTTTTCCGCCGCCGCGAAGCCCGGCCCCCAGGGAGGATTAGCGCGGGGTGGGGACCCCGCTCGGGCCCGGCTCGCGGGCGGAGAGAGGGGCGGCCTGCCGCTGCTGGTGGAGGCCGGGGCACCTGGGGCCGCACAGTCTGGGCGGCCTGGGAAGGAGCCACAACATCTGCTCCGCTCCTTCCCTCTGGTCGGCCCCTGCGGTACAGATTTGTCACATTACACACTTGTTAACTGGTTCCAGGAGCCCAGAGAGCCGCGTGCATTCCGTCTCGGGAAGACAGCTATTTCCGAACAAGATCCAGGGCAGGAGAAACACCCGGACCCATCAGCGTGTAACTTTTCCAGCGCGCGCGCGCACACACACACACACACACACACACACACAACGCGGGTGCACACTGCATTAATGACTGGGGTGTCACCACGCTCCGCGTAAAGCACGTCAAGGCGGGAGAGAAGAATGTGTGCGTTGCATGGTCCCCTGGGCACAGGAGAGACTGTCAACATTTGAGCTCCTTGTCACACATTGTTACAGTTCACTTACACGATATAAGCACGTATGATTGCCTAATTCACGTACATGTCTGAACGGTTGCAAGTTGTTAGTATTCACCTGCATGGGTTGAACACACTGTAGGTGAAAGGAGAGATGAATAAAAAGTTTCCATCAGGACAGTGTGTGGGCCTCCCTGGGTGCAGAGGCAGAAGCAGAGGGTGTTGTGAGGGCAGGGGCTGTGTCCCTGCAAGTGGCATGTTTGGCGTGTGGGTTGGCGACAACTGGCACTAGACATCACTGGACATCACGCGCAGAAGGGAGGTTGAAGACCTTACCCCAGACCCGGTCTGGGAGACCCAACACAGGGGACCGTTAACAAGAAAAACACGTGTGGGACCCTGAAGGGCTGCGGGCGCTGTTGGTTTGACTGTCGCCGCGCTTAAAGGACGATGGGAAGGACAGCGTTAGTGATCTGGGGTCTGCTACAGGCCAAAGGGCCGGTCTGAGGGGAATGAACGGCTTGTATTGCAGACAGGTGGGAAGGGAGATTGCAGGAGCAGAAGGGGGGGGTCACAGAGGAGCGTGGTGACACAGGAGTGTGAACACAGCCGGCAGGTGCCGGAGGAAGGTGGGAGGCTTGCCTACAAGCAAGGGGCCGGGGCCTGGTGGGGGAGTGGCCCAGGGCAGGGTGAGGCAGGAGGGAGGTCAGAGCCTGAGGGATGGGGCTGTGGGGCAGACAGCTGGAGAGGCAGGAAAGCCCGGAGAGATAGCAAGCCTCCCACTCGAAATGCCTGGAGCGAATAGAGGTAGGAGATGGCCTGCCGGTGACAGAATGGGATTTGGGTAGAAGTTGTTAACGACCTTTCTAATGGTGAGAAGGGAAGGTCAACAGAAGCAGGGCAGAGAGTTGGGAAGGGAGGAGAGAAATTCCAAAGGAGCATCAGGAAAGAGAAGCAGGGAAACTGAACAGGACATTGTCTCATTAAACTATAAGCACAGAGGGTTGCAAAGAGGTGGGCGTTTTCACAGAATTCTCTGCAGGGCGGGTCATGGAGGATGAGGTCTCCATCTGGTAGCAAAGAGCTTGCCTGGTGGCCAGGAGCATCTCGGTGACCAGTGGGGACAGGAGCCGGGGCCTGCTTTGGCAGGAAAAGGAAGTGAGGGCCAAGTATAGAGAGCAATGGAGCCAGAAGGGTCACATAAAACCACCCCTGTCACCAACCAGCACAGAGGGACCCTCTGTATCCATAATGCAAGAGGCAGGTGCTATAGAGAAGGGGCTTTCAGAAGACAAGTCTTAACGCAGGTGCACCTTGACCTTTGCCCTGTCTGTTTTCTCATTTCCCACTTTTCCCCCTTCAAACCCCATCCTAATGCTTCCTCCACTCCATTTTGCGGTTTTACATCTTAGGATACAGCAGACATTTGGAAATAAAAAGCTGACTGTGGCATTCTTAAACGTGGAAAGGAAATGATAGTTATGAATAAATGATTAAAAGAGGGTTCTTCTTAAGAATGTTAATATTCATGATTTATCACGTTAAAGATAGGATCTTTGACCACAACTAAGGAGAGTTAAGAAAAAAGAAAATTCAGAAGTGGGGCAGGAGAAAAATTGAGCTGGAGATCTTCACAGAAAATGTTACTTTCGCTAGAGCAAAATTACAACTGACAAGAGCTCAGTCCACTTGCTTTTGAGATGATAAAGATCGTATTTACACTCTTAACCTAGAATATGAAACGGCTGTGTTTTTCCCACAATGGTAAAAGCTTACTCTAAAAAAAGCAAAATTTAGTATAATTACAAGGACACACATGTTAAGTCAATTAGGTGTAATCTACATAGCATTGAAAGAGACCCATGGAGGAAGTCCAAGAAAGATCTCTGAGCACTTAATTAATGATGTGTGGTTTCTGCGCCCAAACATTGTAACAGACTGTTATTCTGTGTCATTTTGAGATAATTTATGGCCCAAGACCAAAAACTGTTGTCATTGTAAAAAGTGATGTATACGCTCTACGACAATATAACCATAGCATCCAGTGGCATTAATAGCAGCATATGGCACAATGTGTGGAAAAGAGAAAGGAAAATGGCAGCTCTGTAGCCTTTATTCATAGAGAAGTAATAAAAAAAAAAAAATTACCCAGAAACGGAGGCCTTGCGGCTCTATTGTTTAATTCAACATTTCTCCAAAAATAGTTTATCCAGTACCAGCCACAATGCTTGGGGCTGGGAATATAGCCACAGAACACAGTACTTTCCAAACTGCCGGTGGCCGTGTACCCGATTTAAAGAGTCATATGTGCACTTCAAAAAATAAAGTAACAAATTCTGCTCTTGGGCTTATATCTAAAGGAATTGACAGCAGGGTCTTGAAGAGATATTTGCACACTGCCGTTCGTAGCAGCATTATTCACAATAGCCAAAATGTGGAAACAACCCAAGCATCCGTCACAGACGAATGGATAAGCAAGATGTGATATATACATATGATGGAGTATTATTCAGTTTTTATTTTTATTTTTTAACGGTTTTTTTTAAATTTATTTTTGAGAGAGAGAGAGAGAGAGACAGCATGAGCAGAGGAGGGTCAGAGAGAGAGACACACAGAACCTGAAGACAGGCTCCAGGTTCTGAGCTGTCAACACAGAGCCCGACGTGGGGCTCAAACTCACAAACCGTGAGATCATGACCTGACCTGAAGTCGGATGCTTAACCGACTGAGCCACCCAGGTGCCCCTATTATTCAGTTTTTAAAAGGAAGGAAACTCTGATACCTGCTACAACATGGATGAACCTTGAAGACCTTATGCGGAGTGAAATAAGCCAGTCACAGAAGGACAAATATTGCGTGACTCTACTTGTGTGAGGTCCTAGAGGAGTCAAATTCATAGAGATGGAAAGTAGAATTGGGGGTGCCAGGGGCTGAGGGGGGTGGGAAATTAGTGTTTAACTGGGAAAGAGTTTCAGTTTGGAATGATCAGAAAGTTCTGGAGATGAATGGCCATGAAAGCTATGTGACGGAGTCATCATATGTACTGCTGCTGAACTGTGCACTTAAAAGAGGTTAAAATTGCAAATTGTAAGCACATTTCAAAGCCAATTAAAAATGAAATGGAATAAAGGGGCGCCTGGGTGGCTCAGTCAGTTAAGTGTTCGACTTTGGCTCAGGTCATGAGTTCAAGCCCCGCGTGGGGCTCTATGCTGACAGCTCGGAGCCTGGAGCCCGCTTCAGATTCTGTGTCTCCTTCTCTCTCTGCCCCTCCCTGGCTCATGCTCTCTCTCTCTCTCTCCCTCTCTTTCACTCTCTCTCTCTCTCTCAAAAATGAATAAACGTTAAAAAATACTTAAAATTTTTTTTAATGAAATGGAATAGGAAATATTGAAAATAGTAAGAACAAGTATTTTTGATTGAAGCATTGGTTTTTACTTGAAATGTGTGCTGTGTTGTGGTGTTTCTCCCAATGTGTTTCTCCCTATAGGTTACAAAGTCAGAGAGGTGTTCGGGGATATAATGACAAATTGTGGTAAGTGCTCTGAAACAGAAGGAAGGAAGGCTTTTGGATTATTCCAGAAGGTGGACTAAGGGGCAAAAAAGGAAATCAAGTAGGGGAAGCCATTCTAGCACATCAGAACCTAGGACCTTCCGAGGCACTGAGAAGGTTACCCAGGCAGGAGGAGTGGTCTGTTCACATGTGGGGGGGAGGGTACAGGGGGTCTGATTATATTCTAAGAGTAAAGGAAAGTTGCCCTTCGGGTAGTATTGTTGGGTTACTCTATGTCAGCCCAAAGTTCATACATTGAAGGACTAACCTCTAGCACCTCGGAATAGGACCTTATTTGGAGGCAGGGTCTTCACAGAGGTAAGGAAGTTAAACTGAGGTCATTAA